AAGCAGTTGGGTTAGAATGCTTAGACCACGATGGTCTGCGCGGCACGAGGTTGGTCGGCTTCAGTGTCGCCTTCATCGGCATCACTGTCATTGCTCATCACATCTGCGCCCAAATTGGTAGCAGCAGCGTCCTCTTCGCTGCTAGTAGCAGAGACGCCCTCGTTGTCATCATCACTGTCGACATCTACAGCCTCGTCATCTTCTTCACTGCTCGATTCTTCTTCTTCTGTAGGAAGATCCTGTTGGAAATGGAACCTGACCCAATAATCAGGCCTGACCTGTATACGACCCCGTTAAAATTCTACCGACACTGGGATGCCCTCTTCGCGCAACGAGAGCACCCACTCTTTCAGAGCCTCTTCCCCCGCTGTTGAAATAGTCGTTGCAGTGCCAACTTTCCGGATTACGTTTAGCTCAGCTTTCACTGACGACGAACACACGGACTCAATGCGCTCTCGGTCTTTCAGTCATTCATAAATTTGTTTTTGTTTATTTTCACGCTTTTGTTGTACAAGGTGTTGGTAGAGCTTTTCCAGTGTAGGCTGTATTCCGTTGATGTCATGAAAGGTAACTACCTCAAGCCTCTTCTGGTACGTTTTTAATTCTCGCTGGTATCCACTGGCTTGTCGGCCGCCTCCCTATGGCTTTCGTCCTCGTGGCATCGCTGTTGAAGAGTCAGGTGAAATGTGGGAGAGTGGGTACAGATTGATTACAGAGTGCGCTCGAAAATAAGTAAAACAAGTTCTGCAAATCTCTCACCGGAAGGTTTTTCTCGCGAAATGCGTTAATATGATTGACTTAGCGAGTGTCCACTTAAAGATAGTGTCCGGTCGTACAAATGTTATACAGTACTACGTGCGCTGCTTTGGCCTGGGAGGACAGTTGATTATTTGTGTTCGTCTTAAAAAAAATAGAATAAAGCTGAAGTGCTACTAGTAATACAAGTTTTTGAATTTTAGAAATAAAAAAACGAAGTAATTTTTAGCGTTGCTGCAAGCAAGAAAAGAATGACCCAAAGTGCAGCGAGAGAGACGACTATTGCTTGATAAACATCGAGAAAAGGCTAGCTGCTGCAGCATGTTCAGCCAAGACAAGTGGGTTCAAGCGAAAGCAACAAGAATCGCTATTGAGCCAACTTGCTGAAAGTATACTGGATAAGGTGGCGTAGACGAGTGACCAGATGGAGACATGACGACCCCGTGATAATTATACAAAGCATTCAAAGATTGCGCTAGCTTAGAGCAACTGTACCTGCAGTGAAATCGCATAAAGTGATTAGTTGAAGTTAATGGCGATTTATATGCATAATATGCTGAGGCTGCGTCAAACAAAATGATACTTATGAGTCATTTAGAGTTATCGAGATATTCGAGCTTAAAGTTGGCCAATTGATTTTCGCACTTAACCGAACAGTGACATTTATTGTAAACTTCCATAGAAAAAACTGTAAAATTACACTTATTCAATTGCTTTTAACAAGAGCTTTTAAATAACTTTGAATTTTTTTAAAGTGAAAAAATAGTATCGTCATTTCGAGGGCCTATAAATGGAGATAATATTTTTGAGCGACCACAACTTCTTCAGTTTTAAGCATTCTGTAGCTTATAAGGGATATAAAGATAGAGGAGACGCCCCACTTTCGTTTAGAGTGCTTAAATCGCGATTCGTACTTGGGTTCTTAAGTATCATTTTGCTTGACGCAGCCTCAAATGGAGGAGGGATCAACCTAGGTGGTCATTCAAGAAGCGGTCGCGATATTCATCGTGCTGACAATGAGGCAGGCAAGCTCCTTAAAGGTGCTGTATACACAGCAATATCGCTACTAACCGTCGAATTATTGCTACCGTAGTACTTCGTAGTATTTCTTTTCTCCACTTGTGTACGGACTTTGGTGATTAATCCGTCTGAGTTTTACCACTGCCGTATACTGCATAAACGCAAAAACGATGACCATTTGTGCTTTTCCGTAAATTATCTTGTAGTTTCAAAAAGTTGTGGCTGCATATGGCTGCATATTATGGCTACATAGAACATCCCATAAATATTCTATACGGCATTATCATCACCGGGGTCCGGACCGGGGCCGATGATGCATGTACATAGCAGGTGAATTAAGTTCAGTTATAAGCCATGTGTAGGGTAGAGTAAGCAGCTATCAGTCTGTCTGGTCTTCTGTATTATGATAGGCCAACAAGCCGACCAGCGCCCCTCGACCATTTCAAGACGAAAGAAGAAGAGCGATATCACAGGAATCCAGGTACAGATCATGGCCGCAGAAGCAAGGATGTCCGTGGAGATGTAGGAGTCTATACAAAGGACGTACGCAAAGGCAAAGGAGTTAAGACCCAAGAATACAACCCGTTCCTACGACAAGCCGTAGCAGGAGTTTCTCGAGTGGTGTACGAACAAGGGTAGCTCATTTAACGACTTATCTCGCTTCACCGTGACGGGTGAAAAACTACATCTCTTTCTGGAAGAGTGCGTCATTGGTAGACGTAAGCATCAGAAAAGTGCTACGAAACAAGCCTATAGGGTGGAGACAATTGGCCGCGCATCTGTAAACCTTTACGTTGCAGCCATGGTTGATATGTGGAAACAACAAGTCCAGGCCGGAATCAATAGTTATTCTTCACCACGTAACGCTGCAGTGACATCGCTGCTAAAATTGACCCAGTTTGAAGAAGACAAGCGCAAACGAAAGAATTTTGAGGACCGAGGAGCTGATACATTACTGGATGGATATACGACTACTGAACAAATCCAGCAAATTGCTAGGTACTTTTGGGCGATGTCACGTGAGGCAGGAGCGAACTTACGGAATCTTTTGGCGTTTCTCGTGAGCCATTATGCTCTAATGAGAGGTAAGTCCGCCCGGATGCCAGAATTGGCTGACTTACATTCAATCATGTTGGGGAACGAGGGCTATAGTCCGTGTCGAGCCATAGTTATGGTGATGCGTCAAGGTAAAACAAATCAAGTGGGTCGCATTGAAGTTGGTGCTTGTATGCGCAACAAGAATGTGGAGATCTGTCCCCACGGGTTGTTGGGTTTGTATTTGTTTTGGCGTTGGCATGTGGATGAAGAGGCGTTTCCTGACTTCACCTCCTCGGATCGTATGTGCCATTGAAGCCCCAAAAACGAGGAAAAAATCCTAAGAAGATGATGTCGTATAAGATGCACAGAGAGGTGATTACAGCTGCATTGAAACTCGTTGGAATCCGTAGTAAGGCTAAAACCCATGTTGGGCGTGGGTCTGGATCTCGCATGGCAGATCTAGGTGGTGCAAGCGAATCTCAAATTAGACGTTTAGGTCGTTGGAATACTCAAGCGATGGAGAAAATGCTATCTCATGTCACTTCCACGGGAAGCTATGCGCACGCTTGCCGGTTTTGAGCCTTCCCGAGGGAACCTTTTTTGTTGCACGCGCGTCTGTGGAACCTCCTCGCGTTTAACAGAGCAAGATCTTTCCTCAGGTTGAGAAGTGGCAGCATGCAATTAGCGACGGTAAAGCTGAACAGTCCATTGCCGCTGGAGGTTTTCTAAAATTTCTTCAATATCTTCGCAAAGTTGTTCTACAGGATGCCGTCTTCTTACAAGATTTAACTCCACATCATCCCATGTGGCAGCACGATATTTTTTACCCGGACGAATTCTTGAAATTCAAAGGTGAAGCTCGAAAAACTATATCTACGATGGAAAAACCGGCTGATCAGAGGTTGCAAAAGGCGATGCCCATTCTGAAGGCCAAGCTGGATGATGCACATCAGGATCTAAAAACATCTATTGATCGCGTAGGTTCGACCTATTGCGCACGCTTCAGCCGCTTCGAGGAGGAACCGCTATACTTCAGGTCAAGCTGGTTTCCAATCCAGAGAACAGCGTTGCAGCATTTCCTAGTTGCAGCTCCGCTGTCACATCCTAGGCTCATAGTGACCAACCCTCAACGTCACATTATAAAATGCGTAGAGGTTTGGAGTCTGTCAAAGAGCTTTGGGAAGAATGGGATGTTGGTGCTGATGGGGGTACACCCGTAAGGGAGCTAGAAGAGCGCTACGGCACGAAGTGGTGCGACGCTGATGAAAGACGATTTTTCAATCGCCGTAGATCTGTTCTCAACTTTATTCAGCAATTATCTTGCGAAGCCCAGCGCTATACCGGAGCTGGGGCGGAAGTAGCAGCACAGTTGGCTGTGCAGTACCTGGATGACAGCCGTAAAATGCGGAGAAAGACGCTCAATTGGCTTTCCAAGAATATTGCTCTAATCCATGATGAAGTGATGAGCCGCCTGATTGCACGGATCTCACTGGATCAAACTGCTACCCGAACGTGCATCAATCGACGTGGACAACCTCTGTAATTGCCAGGATCCCTTTGACTGTCTGGGATCGTAAAGTGACCGCTACGGCGCAGTACCGCAGTGTATCAGCGCGGTATTTGGCGGCACCGCACAGTTACACCGCGGTATTTGGTGGTACCACAGTGTGACTGTGCGGTACCGCGGTATGACTGGACAAACGTACTCCATTCAAAAGTAGTTGCTGTATCTGATTTGGTTCGATGGACCTTTGACAAAAAGCAATTGAGGATATCAAATGCATACGCTGAGCTGTGAGCCTTCCGCATTGAGTTTGCATGATAAACTTTCGTGGGCCCCTAGCGTGCATGAAATTCTCAATTATCAAGACGCCCCAATGGTTCCTGCCAGACACAGGTAGCAGCAGATATTGGTATGACCAATTGAACAGCGCGACCAAATCTTTAAATAATCGCTGCTGCGTAACGGCCTTATGTGTGCGTCTAGCTTTCTCCATCAATACGTATAATCCCGATCCACAAAGACAAACTACCCCATTTACCCGAGGCACGTCGCGGTAAATAAAAAATCCAACGCAGTTTGAGTCAGTAAAGAATTTGCTTCTAAGCTGTTCAAATCGGACGGGAAGACGTGCACAGTTCGAGAATTTTCACTGTCCTCGAGATCTGTCCAAACTAGTATAGCGTCATTCTTTGGAAAGCGCTTCCTGAAAAACCGATGCGAAACAATTGTGTCAGCTTTGCCCACATTGGCATCTTCGAAAACGCTTACGTCAGAGTTGCTAGACTCATCACTCTCCATTTCTCCACCACTTAAAAATTCTGCATCGCTGTTACTTTCAACAGCAATCGCTTCACTCACATTTAGATCTTCATCACTGCCAGGCTCATTCCCACAATCATTGTCACCACTAGATGTATCACCACCAAGTGCAGCGGCGGATACATCAGCACTAACGTCACGGGCAGCTTCACCCAACGAATTTGATACTGAAGGGGGGCTACTCGGAGGAGTGACTGGAGGGGTCCTAAGCCGCTTGCGTCGGTGAACAGGTGCAACTTCATCAGGGGATGATGCTCGAGCCGGGGTCTCTAGAGCAACAGATGCATCACTCTCTGTCGCTGCCATCGCCGATTGGTGCTGTGCTGCAGAATTAACCAGGGTAATATTTGCAGGCAGACCTCCAATGTTTGGAAAAAGTCTTCCGGTTTCTCTTCTCCCATCCAATAAAGGTTTTCAAATGCTTTGTTGTCGTAGTTGCATAATTTTCTCTACCGTCATAAATACTTGCAAATATGCGGCTAGTTTCTGCTGCATCACGTACGTACTTCTCAAGAGATGTGTTTGCGTTGATAGCGCACGTCTGCATCTGGAGCAACGCATCATTTGCTTCATTCTCAGCGTACATGACCATTTGTGTCGCTGCACCCTTTACATGCATTACCGCTTCCGCAATAACGCTCAGAACCGACGCTCTTGCTTGCGCGGGCACCATCACCGCGATTTGACCTCCCAAACACTCCACTAATGCGGGCGAACGAGAAATAACTTGGTGAATGTCCTTCTGTTTCGTGGCGAGCGCCACCGCCGTCGTTTCCGCGTCAATCGCCGCTTGCAGCAGCTTTCTGCGTCGCCTCTCGAAGCCTCTGAGCTGCTCGCTGACCGACGGGTCGATCGGCATGTGTGCCCTGACCTGAGCTCCACTGACGCTGTTTTGGAGGAACTGAGGACCTTCGCCGTCGGCGCATATCGTTCTAGGGTAGCAGCTACGGTCTGTGCGACCATCTCGAAAGCCTGTAGGAGAGTCTTCAAGAGAAAAGCCGTCGTCGGGGTTTCCAAGTAGCACCTTTGCCGTTTTATAGGGGGCTCGTTAAGCCAGACATATTTGAGAGACCGCCCTGCACGACTACGAAGCCAGTTTTCAGCGGTCTTGTTAGCGCCTGGTTGCTCTTGTGCAACTTGCTGTTGTGCAAATGTTGCTGCTTTCTTGGAGATGCTCTCTCCATTGTCACTTGCGTACACCCAAAAGGCTCGGTGGCAACGCATCTCGGCTTGACTCCTGCGGGTGTGTGGTGTGTTGTTGCTCTGAGGCCTGGGGAAAAGAATGATTGCTATTGGTTAAAAGTCGGGCTGGACTGTTAATTCCCTCCGGTCCTCACACCCGCCAAAGACTTCAAAGACGGGGTTCCGGCGCCAGCCAAAGACAGGAACGATAACCCCTCATTATATATATGGTAAAACAAAATGCGCCGCATACAATCAGTATTCTATCACGTAGTATAGCTGGTCACGAACTGCACAAGTATCGTCGGGGGCTGCTCGGGGCTCGTGGGTACCGTGGCTGTGAGAGTGCTTCAGAGACGGCTTGGCGCCGCCGATCTTCTTTCAAGAGTCTCCAGGTTGTCTTGTGCAAAATGGTTATACCCTACAGAGCGTCTGTCCACTTTGATTAGTGAATACAGAGCCTGTAATCACAAAACTTGGCCGTAGGACATCTAAACCCAATGTCGTGCTACTTCATCGTGTTTTATCCCTATCACTACCCCGATAAAGCTCAAATAGTGTCAATAGTGAAAACGGTAGTGTATTTTGCTCCTTTTCACTACAGTGGTCACGGTAATGAATCTCATTAAAATTATTTTGTGTGGAGAAATTGTTTCATTTCACACAGCAATTAATCTCCGTGAGAGTATTAATGAACTCCCATTAAATAGTGTTTGGTAAAATAAATCTCATTGCTATTATTTTATGTAGCCCTGAAATTAATCTTACATTTACATGTCGGCATAAATTATACCAGAAGGTAGAGTTACAGTTAGAACAGAGGGTTGGAATAGAGATGTTGTGCTGCTGTCATATAACAGTGAGTTTGCCTTGTGAGCTGCTATGACTTAGGGGTAGGAGATTCACTGTCAAAACTGGTGAAGACAAAGCACAGTGATGCCTTGCTCACTGTACACGCAAATTACATACCATTCATGGCCCACGGACAGTAGCAGAAGCAAAAACGCCTTAATCTGACGCAGCGCCATGGAAGCAGGAGCAAGCACCCTCACTGACGAAGCTCTAGAAGCAACAGATAAAGATTGCGCTCCTGGGGGGGGACGTCGCGGACACCGATACAGCTGACGGAGCTCCTGGCGACGCGGCTGATGACTCCGCGCAGAAAAAGAGAAAGAAGGCCTTTCGCTTCCTTCCCTCCAGCGACATCATTCTGCTAAAGGAGGTGATCAAGCACACGCCACGGGCTGCTGGGCACGGCAAAACAGAGGCAGCATGGGGCAAGGTCGCCAGTGGGATGAAAGCAGCTCTGCCACTGTGCACTGCCGACGGCAAAGCGTGTCGTCGTCGCTTTTACACGCTCATGGAAATAGTCAAGCGAGAGGAGTTGGAGTCGTTAAGGGCATCAGGTACAGCAGAAGACTACGAAGAACGAGAGCAGCTACTTACAGACTGTTTTGAACTGGTACGATGTAATGTTGTGTTTCTTAATCTGCGTAAAGCCAATTCATTATCTTTCTTATATGTAGACAGAGGGACATGCACAACAAAAGGCAGACAAAACTGAAAAAGAAAAACGAGATGCTGAGCGCCGTGAAGCTGCAGCTGCTGACATAGTTCGTAGCGCCATGCAAGGCATGCGTAACAAACGAGCTCTCAGCTCAGACACTGAGTTAGCCACGCCATCTTCATTAAAAAAGAAAAAGCGGTCAAGTAACGGATGCATTGCTAGGTTTCCTCGAGGACCGCGCTTCATCGCGCAGCAATAGACACCCGTTGAAAGAGCGGCAACTACAAATTGACGAACGACGACTCGCGCTTGAAGAGCAGCGGCAACAGCAAGACAAGGACAAAACAGATAGAATGCTAGCGATGATGTCATCGCAGATGAGTCTTATGGTTCAGTTGATAGAAAAAAATATCCAAATAAAAAGTTGAGCTGCTTATTGAAGTCCTAAGTACTGTTCAACTGTTGGTGGTGTCATTGCAAAGAATGAAGATGTCTGGCTGCCACACAGGCAAGTGTGTACGTTTGCCAATAACGCACCAGCGACGTATATCTTTCCAATACGTTGCAGATAGAGCTTTTGATTTTTTGCAAAATCAACGAAAGCCCAGTAGCGAATAATTTTACCAAAGCTTTATTCAACGCTTACTCGAACCGAACTCATGCGCGCGTTAAACTCTTGTTCGTCTGCCGATAGCTGTGCGCCTTTATAGGGTGCAATAATGTGCTCTTGTCTACCGTAAGCAGGATCGCCATAGAAAACAAAATGTTTTTCATCAGCACGAAGAGATTCAGCGATCACCTCAAGCAATTTACTCTCATGAAGTATAAAAGCATCGTGGCGCGTGCCAGCATAAGGTCCGCTTAGATGAATTATGATGCCATCAGGAGCTATCACGGACTGATACTTTAGTGCGTGTTTTCTCTACGACAACAAACGAGTTTTAATTCCAAAGCCAAACATTCACATCTAGAAAGTCTCTGACCTTGTGTCCGTTGTACATGTAGCGCTGATTACGTGTGGGACGACAGGTTCCTCGTACTGTGCCATCGATAAACCCGACGCAAGTTTGCAGAGGGGCTCCTTTAGCATGCACGGCCTCGGCGTACGCCGAAAGTGTGTCAGCATTTAGTCGTGAGTGGTCGAATTCTAGGAGATAGTTGAATTTGTCGTAAATAAAGTCAGGAACGGCATTAGAAATGGACGAAATCGCAGTGGTATCACGTCCGAATAGGTCTTCTAAGTCGCCGAGCCGTACTGGGTAAGCCATTCGCCGTAGGAAGATACATAGCGCTCCAAGCGCTGCAACATTATATCGCTGTGTAGTAGGGAAAGGTTCAGGTAAACCAAAAAGCTGTACAAGCAGCATTATTTCGTCCTTGTCAAATCGGAACTTCTTGCGCCGGACTGGATCAGTCTGAGATCGTTCAAAATTGAGCCGGCAACGTGAAGGTCGATTGGCTTCGCGCATGAGGAGCACAGCGACCACAACATCATCATCTTCAGAGCTACTGCTCTCACTGTCCATTCCTTCCTGTTATTTTTGAAGGTGACAGCAGCACAAGGTTTTTCTAACGATCAATCCCCTTCAAATCGGATATCTCCTCACTGGGCAATTTCGCTGTTTTGTAACAGTTGCACAACCTCTCTAATGTCACTGGACTGTACAGTGACAGAGAGAATTATTTAAAAAAACATCATGAAATGAAGAAGGCTTAGACACAAGTACATGCAATCATATAATTTAGAGCCACAGCCAATTGGTACTTTTGTTGGTATTATAAAATAGATACAGTGAAATTTTACTTAAGTACGAACATCAGTGTTTACAGCCGAGCAACCCGAACCTGTTAATGCACCTTCAAAAAAAAGTTGCGCAACTTAAATTACGGTAATTTAAAAACGAACCGTAACCGTGGAACCGAACCGGGCGCTGAAAATCCCCCCCCAGCTCAAAATTTGCGAGCTTCCTGCCAACCGCCGCCAGAGCTTCCCAGAGCCTCCTGCCACCTCCGCTGATGCCTCCACTCAAGAAGAAGCGAAGGACTTCCCCTCTCGAGCACGCGGACGACTCCAGCGACGACAGCGAAGTGTTAGAGTCGACACAACCGTCATCTGCGTCAAAGCTACGGGTAAGGAATACGTGAAATGGAACTGAAGCTAGAGAGTTTGTTGCTAATGCTGTTTACGTTTATTAATGCTTTAGATCCTTCTTATGTTCCACTTGCAGTTGTTCCGAGTATTGTCGGAAGGACTTTTGCGTCGTGGCCGGATTTCTTCTCGTTTTGGGAGCAGTTTGAAAGGCAACATCTTGTTGTCTATCGCACGAGAGACTGCCAGACTACGAAAGGGTACAATAAGTCAAAGATAAATCACCCAGAGCGCCAGGTTCCTGAATCATTTGGCTACGCGTTTCGCAAATACGTTTGCACTCTCGGCTGCAAGCAGAAATCTCGGTCGACTGGAAAACGGGCTAAGCGAAAGGAACGATATCGCGCATGCAAAGCAATGTTTCGCGTCGGTGTTTTTCGTGCTAGTAGTGGTGACTTTTCAAGTAGTTCTAACTGGACCATTACAGTAACAAGTGAGCTTGGTTTTATCATTTCTTTTGTTTTTTTTCCAGTATATCACTATTCCGTATGTACATGTCAAACTAATATGAATCCTCGTTATTGTGTATTTGTAGAACACGTGCCACAACCATGTCAACACCGAGACGCTTTATACTGCTTTGAAGCAGTGCAAGGACCTGTTGAGCGAGTCAGTGTTGTCCATGCTGGACGCATTCGGGCAGACCAACACGGACACTAAGCAAATAGCCAGCGATGTTGCTGACACGACTGGTACGTCCTATTATCTTGCTTACAGTTGTTGGTAGCCATTCGTAACGTGTACCGCTGCTGGAATACGACACAGGTCTTCCAATCTCTACGCAACAAGTGCGTAACCCCATGAATGCTCGTCTCGGGCACAGCAGTGCGGAGAAGCGCTTAAACGGTGTGCTGTCTGAATTTGCTTTCACAAAGGGAAATAAATGCGTGCTGCTGCAAGGCGAATACGATCAGACTATCGGAATTGTGATGCAGACGAAAGCGCAGCGTGATATCTTTGCTCGCTGGGGCGATACGCTGTCGCTGGACTAATCTCGGCTTCTACGTCGGTACGTGCTGAT